AAGAGAGCAATTTTTAATAACGTACTAGTACGTCTATGAACGTTGAGGAATTTCCATAATACAGTACATATGTACTGTATTGTCCCAAAATCGAAAACTAGTTTTCATTGAACACTACGAATCCAGTACATTCGTATTCAGTTCGCATGCACCACAAATCCAGTGCATTGGTTAAGTACACTTCCGAATATCTTTATAAAGAGTTGGCTGCTTTTATCAATCATTTAAAACGTTTAAGGAAAGTTGTAGGATGCAAAATTTTAGCCTAGTCGATTTTGAGAATAGCGATTGCAAAACTCGCCTAGACAATTGCGTGATGCCTTGTAATACACAGTACAGTTATATAGATGGATCTACTTCTTTTACTTCCAAAATGGCTTTGAATACTCCGGACGCCTCGGGAAAGTTCGGCAATGCGCGCTTTGCGTTAGACACCGATGATCTTCAGTCAGCGCGGGAAATGGGTCTTCTTCTAGACACAGTGCCAGTCGAAAGTGAAGATTCAACGTCTACAAGTTACGGTATCGCCTACAATCAACAGAAAAATATTGCAGACCACGAATTTTCAAGTCAACAGTCCGTGCGAGCCAGCGTGAAATCCTTTGCTCAGTCTTGTGGATTTCAGATTTTTGTGCGGCAACCAAGCGTCAAACCAAATAATTCGGAGAACGCCAAATACCAGTGTAAGAAGTTGAATGGAGCACAATTTTTTGATAGGGAGATTTCTTTTGAGAAAATCCAGTGCCCGTCTTCGTGAACGCGTTCGGCCACAACGGAAAATGGAAAATCACAAAGGCAAATTTTTGTCACAACCATGCCAAATTCGTGGGTTTCTCTCGTGTTACCTTCGTTGAAGGCACAGTACCACGAGCCGATACAGCAATGCGGAACACTACTCAAGAATTACAGCAAATGATGACTTGGGTGATGACAGAGTTGCTGCCAATGCATAACCGCACCACAGACACGTTAACTGGGGCTGTCATCTCCAAGTTTCTGTTAGGGAAAGGTTTTACATTGGGCCGAAGCGCAATTTCGCAAATGAAATTGGACATTGAGGATCATCTCCGGGGTGACATTACCGAGAGCTACCAGAAACTGCAAGCCTACTTTGTACTTATGGAGGAAAAAATCCTGGATCTGTGTGGAGACTCGATAAGGAAGACGACGGATATTCTTATGAACCATAATTAAATTTCTGCTTCGACACTGCGAACAAATGATCTTGAAGCCCCTGTGTCAGTTTACGAAATGCCTCCCCCTAACAAGCGAAAGCGACACACGAGAAACTTCGAGCGGAGGCTAGACGGCTCATTTTACCGACTTAAAATAAACCAAAACATACCAGCAC